ATATATATATATATATATAGTGTATGGACATCGCGGTATTCTAAGGTAAGGACGACATGTATGGACGACTAAACAGGCCACGGGCACAGGAACTTCCTACAGTACATGTAGCTTTAAGTCAAATTCCGGATAAATTAGGTTTAGGATTCAGATGAAGGTTGGGGTTAAATTAATGGTTAGGTTTGAGGTTGAAGTGAGGATAGGGATTATGCTAAGAATTAAGGCTTGCATTTCTGTTGATTATAGGGTTTTGGTTTAGAGTAGGGTTTGAGTAAGATTACGGTTACCGAGAAGAAGAAGAAGACGACTTGATCGCTGGGACAATACTTTTATTCGCCTAACATTTCGGGATCCGTCGCGGATTCTTCATCAGAAGCATAGTCAGAGAGCAGTAGCAGATGCGGGTTATAGTCTAGTTTTACATTAGGCTTAATATACGGACTTATTTACCCTTCTAGAAACTTACCCCGAGACCACCCATTTTAAGTGGGCCAGCCTTTCCCATTCCCGTGTCCTGTTAAGGCAGCCACAAAAGTCATCCGCACCTCATCTACCCGTTGTGTAGCCCCAGCAAACATAAGAATAGAAGGAGGCAAATAGAAAGACAACAAAAATAATGGAAAAATAAGACCTCCATTATAGTACTTTCCCAACAGGAAGCCACATAGCAACCAACTGGTTAGAGTTGAAGGCCGTCTGAGACTGGCATTGGCCAAGCTAGCGCGACTTAAGTATTGGTAAGTAAGTATTGGCTGTCTGTGGATCATGTCCCAGAACAAATGCCAGGGTCCCTGTTCCGTCCTACAACTAGGTCAAGCCGGTGAGCGGGCCCCTCTCTGGTGATGTTAAAAGGTCTTGCTCACGGCCAACAGAGCTGGAACTACCTGACGCAGTAGGAGAGCTTCCCCGAATGACCACTCGAACCTATGGAGAAATCTCAGGCGCCTGGACTGACTAGCGGGGAAAGCATGTTAGCAGTAGCCGTCCCCGATTTCTTTTTGTCCAGACTTCGCACTTTTAAGTGAACTATTGCCTGCAAAGTAAATTCTGTTTGAACAGTTCGCGGTACTTCATAGTACTTCTGCTTCATTCCAAGGGAGTCCCACTTTAATTGACCTATAGCCAGTACAGCTCCCTAACTGGTCAGAGGTACAAATTCCGGCTTGGTTTATACGTGTTCGGAAGCTTTGTCCACATGGCCCACAAGATACTTATTATTGCAGTGAGTGTCGCAGGGGACCTGCACTTTCATCATTAACCCCCCTTCATTTTCTTCCTCCTTTTTTTCCTGTGTTAGAAGTCGCCCCAAATTCGGGGGCCAGAGCGTTTAGCTGTGATTATCAGGGGATTATTAAAATAATCCCTTTGAGCTTACCGTTAGGGCGTCTCCCGGAGCTCTCTCTCTAATGGGTTTTAGATAATAATAATAATATCACCAGCATCCGAGGAGGGGGGGAGATGAAGCTGTTGACTGTCGGTCTGTAGGTCCCCTTTTTTTCCTTCGTCGCTGCCTACTTAAATTAAATTTCGAAGCAGCCTTCTGCTAAGTCTCCGTGGTTTCACTGCCTATATAGCAACACTTTTTTGGGGGGGGGGTTAAAAAGCAAGCTTCTTAGCTATGCATCCGGTCACCCGCAGCCTAGGGGGCCCATAATGGCGTGACGTCCATTTACTTTTATCTACCGTTTGCCACTGACCAATAAAACTTACTTATCGCAGATGGACCCAACAATAACTGCCTCCAGTTATCCGACTTCAAAAGCGGGATAGCTCTAGTTAAAGAAAAGTACGTTGCTTGCACACCGTTTCTCCCTAGCCCAAAGTCAATGTCTCTTGTGAGACAAGGGTAGAACAGCAGTGGTAATGCCATCATTTTTTGGGTGAATTGGCCAACGCTAGTGTCAACCTTTATCTTGGAAAAAACCGCGGACTTACTTACAAGGTCCGATAAACGTAAATGCCTAGCCATCGTGTTTCTTCTGGTAAAAAAGCAAGATTGTAAATGCGTGCAAAGCATACTATAATTTGTGTGCCATGCCGCGAACTAGAAGTGACATTTTAGGAGGTTATGCCGGACAAATGAGGCAGGCGTTTTTAAAAAGGTTTTTTACATAGAATGAACAAACTGTTCTATCACATGCCGCATTTTGTTCTGCTTGCCTAGATATGCTCCACCGAAGGTACGACGGGTTGAATGATAGTAAAAAGAAATTAAAACTGACAATGGTAAAAATAACAAAGTGATTATTCCTATCCGATTTCGAAGATTTTGTGGTGGATCTGGAACACGTTTTATACACTACAAACAGTATTAATAAAGGGAAAGGGACGATGTTAATGCAGTTTATTCAAATACTGAGTTTACAAAAGGCCTATTTTGCTACCAAATAAGTATAAAAAAAGAGTATGCATGTGTACGCGTTTACAAGAAAATATAAGCTAACATATAGGGGCCTCGAAAGTCATTGGGGGAAAACACTGTAATTAAATAGTCAATTTTTACTGTGAAAAATTTTTACAGGCGACCATGTAGGGGCTTGGTCAAAAACCAGCAGCTTAACGTGAGAAAGCTATTGGGATTATGTTGCGTGCCAAGCAAACTGACTTTCATAAATAAGTAATAATCCCTAATCAAAAAAACAACCTTCGGAAGTTTGGTTGATATTTCATGAGATAGCACAAGTTCTGCTTTTCTTTAAATTCTTCTTATTTTTATGGCATATCAACTTTTGGAAGAAGCCTTTTTTTAGTTGCATCCACGCAGCATTTTACGCCTGAAGGGAGACCTTTGCACTAGTGCCACTCATAATTATTATTGTGTCTCCTACTGTTGTTTGATTTGAAGCGCCCAGTTATAAGGAAGGAGACGTTTATGCGTCTTCGTAACTCTGCGGTTTATCTTGGGTGCCGTTAGCGGAGGTGGCTCAGTTTTTCGCTTAAACGACCCAAACGGATCTAAATTATAGGTCGCAGACGGAACGCCAATCTGCCGCGTCCAATGTACAGTAGATTCACTAGCCCATGAAATGGCACCCGGAATTCTGAAATGAGGTTTCGATTGGAACATATTAATTGCGGATGGTTGTAATAAAGACAATCTTACAGCCTAATCTCACCATATTTTGGACACTTCAGGATGCCTGCTTTTTAACGAGCTTCTTTCTGACCGCCAGGACAAAGCATTTACTATAAAAAGTGACTACTTAATTAGTATACCTATTTGTCATTGATTTCGACTTCCTTTATAGATTCAAATATATTTTTTGGGAAACATGCGCGAAAAAAATATTTCTTGTACTGTTTTTGTATAAAATTACGCCTTCTTTAAATTTTATACTTAAAGAAAGGGTATCTTTCGGTTTTG